CAAGAGTCTGTTCGGCCCCTACCCGTTCTTTCCGTGCCTTTATATCCTACTAGGCTCATCCCTTCATATCCTAAGGTCTATGTTCGTAAACGTCCGCGGTCTTCTCATTGCCCATCTGAACCAATTATAGCATCAATAGCACCATCCTCAAATCCTCCATTGCTCTCCTTGGCGCTTGCAGATCCTACTCCTCCATCTAGTCCTGACATTCCCATTGCCATTCGTAAAGGTGAAAGGTCTTGTACTAAGCACCCTATCTCTAATTTTGTATCTTATGATCATTTATCTCCTTCATTTAAGGCTTTCACAATATCCTTATCTTCTGTCTCTGTTCCTAAGACATATAAGGAGGCTCTTTCCAATCCTGGTTGGCGAAAAGCAATGGAGGATGAAATGCATGCTTTGCACTTGAATAATACTTGGACGCTTGTTCCTAAGCCCGCAGGTGCACACATTGTTGGTTGCCAATGGATTTTCACAGTGAAGCAAAATCCAGATGGTACTGTTGACTGTTTAAAAGCTCGTCTTGTTGCTAAGGGCTTTACTCAAACCTATGGTCTTGATTACACTGAAACTTTTTCTCATGTGGCCAAGCTAAACTCAGTTCGTATTATTATCTCTCTTGCTGCAAATCTTGATTGGCCCCTTCATCAACTTGATGTTAAGAATGTCTTCTTGCATGGAGATTTGAGTGAGACAGTGTACATGGCTCAACCACCTGGGTTTGAGTTCAAGGGGGAGTGTGTCTGTCATCTCCATAAATCTATTTATGGACTCAAACAGTCTCCTCGAGCATCGTTTGACAAATTCAGCAAAGTTGTGGTTACTCATGGAATGACTAGAAGTCAGGTTGATCACTCGGTGTTCTTTAAGAAGACAAAAAAAAAAAAAAAAAAAAAAAAAATGGTATTGTGATATTGGTCATCTATGTGGATGACATTGTAATTACTGGAAGTGACAGTAAGGGCATTCAGACTTTGATTGGTCATCTTGGTTCAAACTTTCTTATTAAAGATTTGGGCAAGCTTCGTTATTTTCTTGGTATTGAGGTTGCGAGATCAAAGAAAGGCATTTATTTGTCTCAACGGAAATATGTTCTTGATATTTTGAGAGATACAGGTCATCTTGGAGCTAAACCTGTTGCTACACCTATGGAGGCTAATCAGAAATTGATGTCTGATGTTGGTGACTTAGTTGATGATCCTGAGATGTACAGAAGACTAGTTGGTAAGCTAATTTACCCGACTATCACTCGACCAGATATTTCATATGCAGTCAGTGTGGTGAGTCAATTCATGACCAACCCACGGGTCCCTCACATGAATGCAGTTTTACACATTCTAAAGTACCTCAAAGGTGCTCCAGGCCGTGGTCTTCTTTACCAATCTTCAGGACATCTTCGCATTGATGCAGACTGGGCAGGTTCTCCCTCAGATAGAAGATCAACTACGGGTTATTGTACTTTTATTGGGGGTAATCTTGTGACTTGGAGAAGTAAGAAGCAATCAGTTGTTGCTCGATCTAGTGCTGAGGCTGAATATCGTGCAATGGCTCACACAACTTGTGAGCTAACTTGGTTGAGAAGCCTTCTACAAGAGTTTGGAATCTCAGTGCAAGATCCAACTCCTCTCTATTGTGATAACCAGGCCGTCATTCATATTGCTAGCAATCCAGTTTTTCATGAACGAACAAAACACATTGAAGTGGATTGTCATTTCATTCGTTTTAAGGTGGCTTCAAATGAGATTGTGACTCCTTTTGTGCCCTCTCGCAATCAGCTAGCTAACATCTTCACTAAAGCTCTTCCAAAGAATGCATTCGACTCTATTTGCAGCAAGCTGGGAGTTGTCGATATCTACTCTCCAGCTTGAGGGGGAGTGTCATGAATATGGGTTGTTTACAGCCTGTAATTAATTAGGAACGTTGACTATTCTGCTACATGTAATCTGCTAGCTTGATTATAGGATTTTGATTAGCTTAATTTCTGGTAATTGGCTAAATTAATGTACTGAGTGTATGTCTTGGGTTCCTATATAAACCCACATGTACTCACATCTAAGTCATATACAAGAAATCTTCTCTTCTATTTTCTTGCTCTTATTTACAACAACATGCATAGTCCAATTCCCATCCATTTGAGTTACATAGTCAAAATATTTCATTTACATATGAACATAGTCCCCAAGTTCATTTTAACTTTACATATATGGAACTAAAGTCAACTTACACACCCAAATTTACATTTAGTTATACAAAAATTATGATTACAACTTTGAGACCACTATAGTATCGTTTACAACGTCTATGCATCGAAATACAAAATAAGTCATCCTACTAAATTAGTATGTTCACAAAAAAATGGAGTCGAAGTCCCTATGTTTCTGTCTAGACTTGTGGAGGCGCATCATCCACCACTACCTTCCCGTGTCCTGAAAATATTAATAAAGGGGTGAGAGACACTCGCTCAGTAAGAAATTCCTAAAATACACACTTTAAGCTCCTGTGAACTAAACAGCCAAAGAAAGGTATATAGATGGCATAGGGGTCATGATTAGAGGGATGCATGGATCACAAGCGATACACAAGTTCACAACAACCAATTCTCAACATAATAAAGTAATCAATGCCAATGGTCATGAACCATGCAATGAGATGCAACCACGTCCTTCCAAACTCACGTAACTCACACCAAAATCGCTAACCAACTTTACCGGGGCGAAGTTGACTATCCATCCTTGGCCTCTCACCGACGACCATTTGGGGCCTAGTTAGTTCAACTATATACGTCCTACCCGGCACGTACTCCCTCTAGGTTGAGTTAGCCACCTGGATCGCGACTTCCGGCCTTTCATTTCACAAAACTCTTTTCATAAAACTTTTGGAAATCATTCCCCTTCCTTAACCAAACCTACCCAAATCTTACGACATGCCAATGCTATGAATGAACTATGCACTCTTAACAATTCTTTCTACATAATCATCTATCACAATTCAAATAATCAAACTACGACTAGCACACACATGCATTGAGGCATTTAATCATACAATTGGTAGGCATGATGGAGAATTATCATGCTTGGACAACTATAGCATGACTTATAACAATGAATTGACTAGTGGTGCAGGGCAGTAGCGATAAGTCACTGTCCAGCAACTATAGCAGTGCAAACCCACGAAGGAAAAGGATTTCCAGCAGTAATCAAGCAGAAAAATATAGAGATAAAGCAATAGAATTGAATTTGGAGTATAGGTAAGTGAGTTCTAGGGCAAGAGGCCCAAGAGAAACTCTAAAACTGATTTTCTGGAATAAAAACTGCATACAAAGTCTCTTAATTGACTATTTATACTAGGGTTACAGCAGCCCTAGCATCCTAGCCCTTGATTACTTCAATAACTATTAAATCCTAACCCTCCGAAGTACTTAAAAACTCACATGACATTCACACGACTATTTAAAAAGACTATGACTATAACTATCATCTACCAAATAACATAAAACATAAAAATCAAATAAGACACATAGAAAATAAGTAAATAACTAAGTCCCAAGATAACTAGAACCCAAGCCTAGTTGGCTAGCGGCCTGCCCGGTTAGTCTTGGGCCTTGTAGATGCTCCTGCATCAACTCCACCCAGTTGGGAAAAACTTGACTCCTGCGAGAAAACCTCCACAACTTCAGCATATATTTCTGGATCAATTCTCTTCAGCTCTTCTTCAGCAATCCATGTACTATCACTAGCAAGTTTACCCAACCACTTCACCAGAAACCGCCTATACTGGTTGCCCCTCCTTGATTTCACCTCCTTAAAATCCAATACATCTTCGACAACATCTGGTTGCACTTTTGGAAGGTGCTTGAGTTGTGCCTCTATTGAAACTGGTTCCCCATCAAATCCTTCAAACGAATACAAATCAAACACATTGAAGATTGGGCTTATTTGGAGGTCAGGTGGCAGCTCTATCATGTACGCATTTTAGCTAATTTTGTTCAGTACCTTGCATGGCCCAAACTTCGACTTCAGTTTATGGTAAGTGCTTTTGGGAATATGTCTTTCCTCAAATGCACCAAAAACATGTCACCCTCTTCAAAATCTTCCGGTGTTGATTTGCTGTTGTTGCATAGGATTCATTACTAGCCTTTATCACTGCCCTTACTTTTTCGTGCACTCTTTTGATGTGATCTGCAAATGTCTCTACCTCTTGTGGTAGCGGAACTAGATCAAGAACATGCTGAGGTTTTAGTTCATAAGCTGCTTCAAAAGTTGTCTTCTTTGTAGATCTATTCAAGGAATTATTGTATGCAAATTCAGCTTGCGGAATAATTAAATCCCATGTCTTCACATTGCTTCCAACAAGGCATCTCAGCATATTACCCAAACTTCGATTGACTAATTCAGTCTGACCATCTGCCTGAGGATGGCATGTGCTAGAGTATTTTAATTCAGTCCCAAACTTTATCCGTACAGTCCTCCAAAAGTGTCCTGTGAAGTTGACATCTCTATCTGAAAAAATAGAAGTTGGCACGCCATGTAGTCTCACTTCTTCTTTGAAGAGTGAATCAGCCACATGTGTGGCATCTACAGGTCTAGAACATGTAATGAAATGCGCCATTTTGGAGAAATGGTCCACCACAACAAAAATACTGTCATGGCCCCTTGCTGTCTTTGGAAGTCCCAACACAAAATCCATGCTAATATGAACCCAAGGAGCTTCTGCCACTGGTAAGGGTGTGTATAAACCTGTGTTTTGTGAACTTCCCTTCCCAAATTGACAAGTCCGATACCTCCGAACCAGCCTATTGACATCCTTTTACATTCCAGGCCAATAATAACGATCAACCACCATTGCCATTGTCTTATCTCTACCAAAATGTCTTCCTAACCGGCTAACCCATTTCCATGAAGTTCTCTAATAATTTGTTTACGTAATGATCCCTCTGGAATGCATACGAAGTTTCCTTTAAACACATACCCATCATGCATTCTAAATGGCATCATCTTTCAACTTGCAGGGCCTTGAAGTTCAGCAACTGCAGAGCTGAAATATGGATCTGCAACATACTGATTTTTCAACTCCTCAAACCCAATAACTTGAGTACTTATTACTGTCAACAATAGATTCCTCCGACTTAAAGCATCTGCAACTTTATTAGACTCACTAGTTTTGTACTTAAGACAAAAATTGAAATCTTGAAGGTATGAACTCCATTTGACATGTCGAGCATTCAACTTCTTTTGAGAATTCAAGTACCCTAAGGCTTGATGATTTAAATAAACCACAAATTCTTTATAGGCTAGGTTGTGTTCCCAATGTTGGATTGCACGGACCAAAGCATAAAATTCCAAATCACAGGTAGAATAACGACATTTAGCACCTGACAACTTCTCGCTAAAAAATTCCACCGGCCTTCCTTCTTGACTCAAAACAGCCCCTATTCCTGTATGCGATGCATCACACTCAACAGTGAATAACTTCTCAAAATCTAGTAGCGTGAGTGCTGGAGCTTCTGTTGTCAATCTTTTTATTTGTTCAAAGGCTCTTTGTGTTGATTTTGACCACTCAAAAACATTTGCTTTCAATCATTCGGTGACCGGACTCATAATGGAGCTGAAATTGTGAATGAGCCTCCTGTAGAATGAAATCAATCCATGAAAACTGCAAACATCACCCACAGATTGTGGTACTGGCCACTCTTTAATAGCTCTTACTTTATGAGGGTCAGCTTGCAAACCATTGGCTGAAACAATAAAGCCAAGAAACACAACCTTGTCGCACAAAAAAGAGCACTTTATCAAGTTTACATAAAGCTTCTCCTTACGGGGAACCTCCATGACTTGGCGCAAATGAAGTAAATGCTCTTTACTTATATGACTATATATTAATATGTCATCAAAATAAACTACCACAAATGAGCCCAAGAAAGGTTTGAGTACCTCTGGCATAACTCACATAAATGTGCTAGGAGCATTGGATAGTCCGAATGGCATCACTAACCATTCGTAATCCATTTGGAGTTTTGAAGGCCGTCTTCCACCCATCACCACTCTTCATACGAATCTGATGATAACCGCTTCTCAAATCTATTTTGGAGAACACCTTGGAGGGATAGGAAACCGGTATTTTACTGGCATGACTGTCGACACACATGCTCTGTGATCCATCTTTTTTTGGTGTTAGCAAAGCTGGAACAGCGCAAGGACTTTTGCTCTCACGCACAAAGCCCTTAAAAATCAAGTCTTCCACTTGCCTTTGAATTTCAGCCCGTTGCGTGGGTGGCATTCTATAAGTAGGAAGGTTTGGTAAAGCTGCCCCAGGCACCAAATCAATAGCATGCTGAATACTTCTCATTGGTGGCAACCTTGTGGTATCATCACCAACTAGCTCTTGGAACTCCATCAATATGTGCTGAATTTCAGTTCTATACTCATCAAATTTTAAAGGCTGGTCGTCCACTTGTACTTTCTAGCAACAACCGCATACATAACTCCCATCTCCTTGCTCTCAAGTTCAAACTTGTGGGCTGTCAAAAACCCATTAACTTTGGCAGCCTTACGAAAACCTGGCCCTGGCTCCGCACGGGACCTCCGGACCTGAAAACTCAAAAATAGCGAAATGAACTAAAAGAAATGTCCTAAATGCCCAAAAATAATAAATATAAAAATAAAGAAAAAAGCCGAAAAATCCAGAAAAATCCAGAAAAATCTGGGACATTACATGCAGGCAATCCCTTTCCTTTAGAGCCTGATGGTTTTCTGAGTTCTGTTTAAATTGTACCAGTTTAGCCATTTCATTTTAAGTACTGAGAGTGTAGCGTAGAGCTAAGTAGAGGGAGTTAAGTTCTAGCTTTGTACAATCGTATTTAGAGATTCAACGTAAAATATTATCTATGGTCAGAAGGGACACAAAATATGAGTCAAGGAAAAGATAGATGTTCTACTACCCGTTGGTAACTGTATTTGGTTGTTTGAGTTTTCCCAAGAAAATAATTTGATAGAGTAACTTGTTTTGAAAGATGAGCACTCTAAGGTAACTTGTTTTGAAAGGTGAGCACTCCTCTTCTGAAATAACAACCATTGAGTATTTTCTTACTGTGTAATAGGTTGTTGAGTATTTTCTTCGTGTGTTAAAAGGAATTAATGCAATCTCTCTCTCTTTTTCTTTTTTTTGTAAAGGTGAATTAATGCATAGTCTATTCAAAGAAAACTAAGAAATCTTTTTATATTAGAAGGTAAGCAAGCACATGATGAGGGAAACAAAGGTTACTAAAATGGAGAATGAAATCTCTATCAGTCATTGACATCTAAAATAAGTTATCAAATATTAATTATGAAATCAAACTCACCTCTGCGGCTATGAGGATCTTTGGCAACTACAGAGTGTCTTACCTTAAGCTCCTAAACAAGTGACAAGATTTGAAGATCGGATGGTTTAGAGTACATAATATATCTAAACCTGTTAACTACGTGATTGATATTGGTTGGTACATCAACCACTTTTTTATTGTCATTCCTAGCTTCCAAGTGCATTTCTTCAAATCTTTTAATTCCTCCTTCTGGCTAGTCCAACATTAATTTGTGCTCAGTTTAAATTCAAGCTAGCCTTTCCTCAAATCTGAAATAAGCCATCTTCCATACAGAAAAATAATAAACAATGAATTAAACGAACCCTGGAACAATGAATTAAACAATTCCACTCAACGGATAGTGTGTGTGTATATATATATTTACACATATATAGAGATGTATTATTGTGTCCACCTACATGAGATGTTAGAACTTAGTAGGGTAAGCCCCAAGATAGAAATAAACCTCTGATATTATTTTAACAGTGCTGTGATTTTAACTTGAATTTACAATATCAAACTTGTCGGTTTTAACAATTACACTAAGACATCAATGTATAGAAAAGTTAATGAAAGAAAAACAAAATAAAAAGCAGAAAATGGTTGAATCACTAAACTCTGTTAAGGATTTTCATACCATTGGTTTAAGTTCTCCCGTACACTCTTTGGGCTTAAGTTATCTCTGGCACACTCTTTCTCGTAGTGTTTTGTGGTGCACCCTTTCACTATATTTTCTTTGAAATTTCATCACTTTTACTTAAGTCTTCTCTAGTACACTTTTTGGGCTTAAGTCCTCTCTTGCACACTCTTTTTCGTAGTATTTTGTGGTGCACCCTTTCACCGGATTTTCTTTGAAATTTCACTTCTTGTAATGTTGAAATTTTGGAAGTACAAAATGATTTGCTTTTGTTAAGTGAGTAATGTGGCATGTTGTGTGCCATTGGATCTGGACTGTGGGATACCAGTATTTGGGAGGATTATGATCTATTATAACTTGGGCAAATTACACTCACACCCCTGAGGTTGAGTCATATTTCACCTAGATTAAATGTGCTAGGAGCATTGGATAGTCCAAATGGAATCACTAACCATTCATTTGGCTAGGAGCATTCGTAATCCATTTGGAGTTTTGAAGACCATCTTCCATTCATCACCACTCTTCATATGAATCTGATGATACCTGCTTCTCAAGTCTATTTTGGAGAACACCTTGGAGGGATAGGAAACCGGTATTTTACTGTAATTTTGTTGATGGCACGACTGTCCACACACATCCTCCATGATCCATCTTTTTTTGGTGTTAGCAATGCTGGAATAGCGCAATGACTCTTGCTCTCACGCACAAAACCCTTAAAAATCAAGTCTTCCACTTGCCTTTAAATTTCAGCTCATTGCGTGGGTGGCATTCTATAAGCAGGAAGGTTTGGTAAAGCTGGCCCAGGCACTAAATCAATAGCATGCTAAATACTTCTAATTGGTGGCAAACCTTGTGGTAAATCATCACCAACCAGCTCTTGGAACTCCATCAATATGTGCTGAATTTCAGTTGGATACTCATCAAATTTTACAGGCTGGTCCTCTTGTACTTTCTTAGCAACAAGTGCATCCATAACTCCCATCTCCTTGCTCTCAAGTTCAAACTTGTGGGCTGTCAAAAACCCATTAACCTTGGCAGCCTTACGAAAACCCGGCCTTGGCCCTAGCCCCATACGGGACTTTCGAATTTGAAAACCCAAAAATGGCGAAATGAACTACAATGCATTTCTTAGAGTTCTAAACTCAAAGAATTGCCCTAAATGACCCTTGGAACTCCCGTGGCACGCTATGCCCAAAAATAATAAATATAAAAATAAAGAAAAAGGCGGAAAAATCCGGGATATTACATGTAGGCAACCCCTTTCCTTTAAAGCCTGATGGCTTTCCAGGTTCTGTTTAAATTGTACAGTTTAGCCATTTCATTTCAAGTACTGAGAGTGCGAGTGTAGAGCTAAGTAGAGGGAGTTGAGTTCTAGCTTTGTACAATCATATTTAGAGATTCAACGTTAAATATTATCTATGGTAAGAAGGGACACAAAATTTGAGTCAAGGAAAAGATAGATGTTCTACTACCCGTTGGTAATTGTATTTGGTTGTTTGAGTTTTCCCAAGAAAATGAAAAGTGAGCACTCCACCTCTTTTGAAATAACAACCATTGAGTATTTTCTTACTGTGTAATAGGTTGTTGAGTATTTTCTTCGTGTGTGAAAAGGAATTAAGGCAGTCTCTCTCTCTCTCTCTCTATATATATATATTTTTGTAAAGGTGAATTAATGCATAGTATATTCAAAGAAAACTAAGAAATGTTTTTATATTAGAAGGTAAGCAAGCAGATGATGAGGGAAACAGAGGTTACTAAAATGGAGAATGAAATCTCTATCAGTCATTGACATCTAAAATAAGTTATCAAATATTAATGATGAAATCAAGCTCACCTCTGCGGTTTCAAGGATCAACCACGGAGTGTCTTACCTTAAGCTCCTGAACAAGTGACAAGATTTGAAGATCGGATAGTTTAGAGTGCATAATATATCTAAACCTGTTAACTACGTGATTGATATTGGTTGTTCAAAATCATATGAGAGAGAGAGAGAGAGAGAGAGAGACCATGTCTTGTATATATTCAACACACTATAACCTAATAAGCCTATGTAGGCTTTTATAAAGGGTACAAGTATCACTCAATAACACAAGGGCCCTATCAACTATCTGTAAATACATAATGACCCAACACTCATATATATATATATATATATAAAACATTCTAACACCCCCTCAAGCTGGAGAATATATATCAAATAATCCCAGCTGGGAACAGATAGTTCTTAACTGGTTATGACCCAATGCTTTGGTAAACATATCAGCTAATTGATCTTCAGATTTTACGAATAGAGTAGAGATGCTCCCACGTAATATTTTTTCTCGAATGAAGCGATAATCAACTTCAATATGTTTGGTCCTCTCATGAAACACAGGATTTGATGCAATGTGAACTGCTGCTTGATTATCACAAAATAATGGAGTAGGAGCTTCAACTGTCAACCTAAGTTCTTTTAGAAAATGTTGTATCCATGTCAACTCACTAGTGGTATGGGCCATTGCCCTATACTCAGCTTCAGCACTAGATCGAGCTACCACAGTTTGCTTTTTACTTCGCCATGTAACAAGATTTCCTTCTACAAATGTGCAGTAGCTTGTAGTAGATCTCTTATCTGAAGGAGAACCAGCCCAGTCAGCATTTGTAAAACCTTCCACCCTGAGATGACCATTTGATTTATATAGTAACCCAAAACCTGGAGCTTGCTTGAGATATCGGATAATCCGAAGAACAGCAATCCAGTGTGGCATTCTAGGCACTCTTATGAACTGACTTACAACACTAACTGCATATGAAATATCAGGTCGAGTGATAATGAGATAAATTAATTTCCTAACAAGGCGACGAAATTTGCCCTGGTCATTAAATATAGGTGTGGAGGGAAAAAAACTCCCTCCAATAAAAAGCGCACACGTCACCACTACCCATGTCTATATTCCAAGGACATATAAGGGCCATCATGCTCAAGCCTAAGTTGAGGGTATTTACAGCCCAGAGTTCATTGTTATTTGTCCTCCAACTTCCATCAAGGCCGAATCAAGAAGTCATCAGCCCAGCTTATGAGTATTTAACATCCGGCCTGTTACTCAAGCCCAGCCGGATCAAAATACATTCAGCCCAAGAATGCACAAGTCCTACCATTTGAAGGATTTACTGTAGAAGGAAAATTCTGATAGGAAGTTCTGTACAAGGCAAGTTCTATGTATGGAAAATTCGACAATGGAAAGAACTCTATTAGAAAAGAATGGTTATATAGAAAGAATTGGAAGGCAAGCAAGGCGAGTCCTACCATAATTTTGCAATCTTTTGTGTATAAATAGAGGCTAAGACCTCCAATAAAGGATCAAGCAATTCTACGCTTCTCTATACACTGTTCTTATTTATTTTTATTGTTTTTGAGTGAGTTGTTTTATTTTTCTC